GTGGTTGATCTAAATTCATAGCCCACTCTCGGGGCACCTGAGTGGCTCAGTGGATTGAGCACCTGGATTCAGCTCTGGTCATGATCTCATGGTCCGTGAGTTCAAGCCCCACATCGGGCTCTGTGCTGACAGCTCAGAGCCTGGAGCCTGCTTCAGATTTCTGTGTCTCCCTCTCTCTCTGCCCCTTCCCCACTCACAGTCTCTCTCTCACTCAAAAAATACACATTAAATTAATTAATTAATTAATTAATTCACAGTCCACTCTCAAAGTCCATGGTCTACACCACCTCCCTGGCACGATATACGGAGGAATCAGGGCTGAAAGGATGCAGAAGAGTTCCCTACTACAGATGTCTACCTTGCTTAAGCAGCCATTATTTATGTGCCCACAAAGAGAGAACATTCCAGCGACAAACTCTGTTTTCAGGAACTCTGTTGCGAGAGTCAGAGGTAGTATAGGAGGAACTCCTGACATCTTCCTTTACCTATCACTACTTGCGACATTTCACAACGACAAAGCAAAACCCAAATGGTTTACACACCTCATGACACAGCTTCAAAATATGTGAAGCAAAGACAGACAAAACTCGACCTAAGTAGTAGTGACAAGACCGTTTGCCTTCAAGTAATACATTAAGCTAAGACAGACGTTTTATGTGCGTGCTATCATACTAAAAAAATATTTATAGAAAGAGAAATACATTAATGAGAAAGGGAGAGAGGAGCACAAAGTCATAAAGCTCGACACAATAAATGCCAGCAATTACCATTACTTTAGGAAGTGTCCTTGCCTCTTTCTCTTCTGTTATGTGCTATACTCTCTGTTCTAGAGCCGACTTCAGTCCCCCAAACTCCTGTCTACTCTATCAGCTTTGCTACAGTTTTGTTCCCAAACCATCATGATCGGATTAACAGCACCTTGAACTATGACAGTTTGCTAGATACAATTTGTTTGTCTGTCTGTTTTGGCTAAAAACAGAACAAGTATTTATATTTCTGGAGATATATAAATCCGTACATATCCCAGCATAGATTTACGCTAAATGGACCCCAGTAAGAGAACTGACCTGCTTTCTCCAGGGTAAGGTTTGTTTACGAAAAGGTGCATGAAAAGTTAAGGAAGTATGTGCCCTCTAACCCTCCGTGGGGTGTTTTGTCGCATTTTGGAACAGCCAGCGAAGTTTCCATGACTCTGGGGGCACAGCCAAAAGGGTGTCCTTTGCTCTCACTCCTACCAGGATCATTTCATCTTGCTTCACCTGCTTGCCTCTACCCAGGTCTGAGTGCTGACAATTTACCACTGTTGGTTAATCTTCTCTTTATTTTACTAAAATGTGTAAAAAAAAAAAAAAAGTCAAGAAAACTTAGGTAGATCTCATTACTCTGTACTCTATGGTAGATCAGGTGAGCTAAGACAGACAGGGGAGAGAACAGTTCATGAGGGGTGACCATCTCCCACAGGCAGTGTCATTTTCTCCTCCTCACAACCCTCAAGGTACACATTACTGTACCCAGTTTGCAGTTGTGGAAACTGAGGCTCAGGGATTTTGAGGGTCCAAAGGATTTGAACCTGGATCTGCCTAAATTTTTAAACCCACCCACTTTTTTCTTTTTTAACAGAACCAAACTATTCTTAGCTTATGGCAATGGCACCATAAACTTACAAGTACTTATTACAAGCGGATAAGCAGGCTCATAGGCATAAAAAATCAGGTAAATGGGAGGTTCTGTTTTCCTTACTATGATGATGGAGAGACTGAGACCAAAAGCATACTGACTCAATTTGAACCACAGAGGGAGTCGAGCAGGTCCAGAAATAAAATCCCCCGACCATTAATTCAGTGTTTCACTAACCCAACCACATATGCACTAATTGAATACATATTGCATATGTCTTTAACAGCCACTAGATGTTCTGCACGTACAATGGTTAAGACACGGATCTGGAATCTGACTGCTTATGTTGGAATCTGCCACCGACTAGCTGCCGAACAGGGGGCGAAGTTCTTTCGCTCCTTGAGCCTCAATTCCTTTACCTGTGAGATGGGCTGATACCAGCACCTGCCTCCACGGACCGTGGGGAAGGAGACGCAGAGAGGCCACCGTGCCTGGCACCGAGCAAGCACTTGACAATGGGAGCCATCGTTATGGTAACTGTGTTCACTATCACACGCTTGGAGAACGCAAAAAATAAAAGCAGATAAAATATTGCTCATGTTCCTGTCACTCCACAACAAGTACTGTTCAAATTTTTCCTTGTGGCCTTTTCTGTTCCTATGAACAGGTTATGTTTCCTAAACATGGCTGATCACATTTTTTTTATTTCTGTATTTTATCGTTTATGATTATCTCACGTTAGCTGTTTTATAACACCGATGTGGCCTTAAAACCTTCATAAATGGTATTTTTGAGAACTGATGAACGTTCCATTGAATGTCAATACTACATCAGCCATTCTTCTCTTTTTGAAAATGTGGGCTTCTAACAAATTTTCTCTATACACATAATCCGGCATCACATTTCCCCACATTTTAATTTACTTCCATAGGACAATTAGTAAAACACTACACCACTGAGCAGAAACGCCTTTGTCACTTGATATACTTTGAGAGCTTACGATCCAAAGGAGCTGTCCTAATTTAAACCCCCCCACTCCACACAAGGCATACATTCTTTAATATTTCGTATCACAAACAGCACCAAAATAGCTTTTTAAATCCCGTGATCCTAAATTAGACTGAAAGAAGAAAACACTAAGAAAACTAGGTGACTGGATCACCTCTATTTTCTATTTTTATCTTATTAAGCGATCCAACGTAACATGACTCTTCCGAATTGGAGGTCAAAGAGAAAAGATACAAAAGTCTACTCCAACCCATGGTGCAGTTCTCAAAACTGAGGTTGATATCTCTTAAAACTGCCTTGATCCACATTCCAAGTTGCACGGGAGGCCTGAACTTCAGTTGCTTTGACTGGGGTGCAGGCTGTACAAGCCAGCCTCTGTCGTTCGTACTCTTTTATGATTTCGTTCCCATAGATTCTACTTCCTCTACATCATTAAGAAGCTTCCCCCCCTTCACTTTTTTTCCTGAGGTGAAATTCACATTAATATAAATCAACCACTTTAAGGAAATTAATCCAGGGACACTTAGCACATTCACGATGTTGTGCAACTACCAATTCCACCGAGTTGCAAAATACTTAGATCACCCGAAAATAAAACCCTGAACCCATTAGGCAGTTATTCCCCATTTCCTTCTCCTCTGCCCCTGGCAACCACCAATGTACATTCTATTTCTGTGGATTTACCTACTCAGGATAGTTCATAAAAATGGAATGATCCAATATGTAACCTTCTGTAGACTTTCACTTAACATCAAGTTTTTGAGGCTCGTCCATCCTGAAACATGTATCAGGACTTCATTCCTTTTTAGGACTGAATAATATTCCCATATATAGGGATATATCATAATTCGTTTATCCATTCATCTGTTCAACATTCATCATTCAAGGGCTAAAATTAACAACTCAGACAACAGATGTTGGCGAGGATGCAGAGAAAGAGGAACCCTTTGGCACTGTTGGTGGGAATGCAAACTGGTACAGCCACTATGGAAAACAGTATGGAGGTTCCTCAAAAAGTTAAAAATAGAACTACCCTACGACCCAGCAATTGTACTACTAGGCATTTATCCAAGGAATACAGGTGTGCTGTTTCAAAGGAGCACATGTGGTCCAACATTTATTATAGCAGCACTATCGACAATAACCAAAGTATGGAAAGAGCCCAATGGCCATCAATGGATGAATGGATAAAGAACATGTGGTATATATATACAATGGAGTATTACTCTGCAATCAAAAAGAATGAAATCTTGCCATGTGCAACTACATGAATGGAACTGGAGGGTATTATGCTAAGCGAAATTAGTCAGAGAAAGACAAATATCATATGACTTCGCTCATATAAGGACTTTAAGAGAGAAAACAGATGAACATAAGGGAAGGGAAGCAAAAATAATATAAAAACAGGGAGGGGGACAAAACATAAGAGACTCTTAGAGAACAAACTAAGGGTTGCTGAAGGGGCTGTGGGTCGGGGGATGGGCTAAATGGGCAAGGACACTTGTTGGGATGAACACTGGGTGTTATATGTAGGGGCCACATCACTGAATTCTACTCCTGAAATCATTACTGCACGGTACACTAACTAACTTGGATGTAAATTTTTAAAAAATAAATATTTTCACTTCCTAAAAAAAAGGAAAGAAAAGAAACGAAATCAAGATAGGTATACCAGATACAATGGTACATTGCAGTCTAAATGAAAACAAAATCTCATTTGTAGTAAATGTAAAAGAAAAAGAAAAAGAAAACATTCATCATTCAACATCTGGGTTGTTTCCACCTTTTGGCTCCCGTGAAGAGGGCTGCAATGTCCTACCCGCTTTAAGAGGGCTAAACATCAGAAACAAATAAGACTCAGTCAAAATGTGTGGCGTGGTCATTAAATTCAGCATCACCGATAAAGGGACAAAATGACATGATGCCTCTTGATGGGATTTGATGGGAAATACACCCCATCACCTTTGCCGGCTTTTTGCCAAAAATGCTGAACCTGACTCCAATCGTAAGAACATAATTAGGCAATTCCAGACTTTGGGACATTCTAGAAGATAATTACCGGGGGCTGTTTAGAAAATATCAATGTTACAAAAGGCTGCCTTCTCTGCAGCATTTAGCAATGATCTTCCTCTGCTACCCCTGCCCCCCACATTTCTGACTCCAGTGGGCTCACCTGTGCCTCCATCAGTGAAATGGTGCTGAACAAGGGCACTGTACAATGTCTCATCCAGGGCCAATGCTCCAACAGTGGCAGCCGAATTTGATAAATCAGTGAATCCTAAAAACGTGCTTTGTCTATAGGCACTTCTTCAAAGACCTGACGTACATAAATTCCTTCACATTCTAGGTTTAACTTTATCAGTTTTTCAACATTTAAGAAAGTAATATTTGTAACATGGAAAAATAACTGGTTAATGAAACATACAGATACCACAAAAAGCGTAAAGAATAGTGATGGTGTATAGGAAACACTCAACAAATGCTATTAGCCACCACTGACCGCTTGGGACCTTCGGAAACAACCAATGTCACAGGGCTCAATCCAAAATGCTAGTTGATTTGTTCTCCAGCGCATATATTACTTCAGTAAAAATAAATCTAAAAAAGGTAAACAGCAAGAGAAAATATGCCAAAATATTAACAGAGAATCTCAAACAGGCTCCATGCTCGGCACGGAGCCCAACATGGGACTCGATCCCACAACCCTGGGATCATGACCTGAGCTGAAATCAAGAGTCGGACCCTGAACCAACTGAGCCACCCAGGCGCCCCAAAAGATTATTTAAAAAAAAAAAAGAAATATAGGGGCGCCTGGGTGGCTCAGTCGGTTGAGCATCCGACTTCAGCTCAGGTCATGATTTCGCAGTCCGTGAGTTCGAGCCCCACGTCAGGCTCTGTGCTGACAGCTCAGAGCCTGGGGCCTGCTTCAGATTCTGTGTCCCGCCCTCTCTCTCTGCCCCACCCCTGCTTGTGCTCTGTCTCTTTCAAAAATGAATAAACATAAAAAAAAGTTAAAAACAAAAAGAAATAAAACGGCTCCACTAGAAAGAAAAGAAAAAAAAAACTACACAAAACTGAAGAACAAATCTACTTAAGTAACAATAGTCTCATCTTGAACATGATTCTATTAAATTTCCATGAGCAAACAGCATCAGAAAAATATTACAAAAACTATTGAGGTCCAAAAACTATTGGATTTTAATAGTGACCAATATTAAGAAATAATTGAAAATATTTAATTTGTATATGTAGCCTTCCTATTTGTATCCAAGAAGTTTTCATTTTTCCCCTATGGAAATTTGTTTCTATACTTATTTTAACCATGCAACCCAGGATGGGGAACGAAAATGGAATTCAGAGTCCAGCGGGCACATTCTTTTCTTTTCCTGTTCCCGAGGCATTGTATTTCAAAACACAATCAGAGTCATCTGTTGATTATAAGAATGGAAGCATAACATTCTTCTGATTTTTAAAATTCCTATTTTAAGAGCACTTGCCCCCCAGAGTTTCTTAGGGTGATACTAAAAGACAAATCTCAGACCCCTCTGCAGAATTTTGCAGCTCAGTATTCCTCGAATGTGGGTCTGCTCCCCAATGCTTTTAAAAAGTTTTATGGAGAGGAAACTGCATTTTCCTTATTTAAAAGCAAATTCAGGGGCGCCTGGGTGGCTCAGTCGG